GCCGCTTTTAACAAAATTGCCACATCACAGGTGAAGGAGTATTGCGGGTTGTGGGTGCGAATTCCTCTGAGGACATATTAAAATAGAGGGCGGAAATACGTCTTTTGGGCCAATCACAGAGGTATGCTAGGTGCTCTCTGGCTCTCTGTAGCTTCATGTCGCTCGGAAGGCCGCGAGGCCGGGTTTAGTACGCTACCTGGTACTAGATTTCGGTGACCGGCTCCGGGTGGGCAGATAAATGCTAGCCACCCGAGGTCGCAGAAATCCCCACGGGCCAGTAGATCAGGCTAATCGACCGAATTCGTTCGAGTAGCAAAACGCTAGCCACCCCAAATCGGGCGGCCAGCACCGGCAAATAACATTTACTGTTGACGGGTTCATGGGAAAAGAAAAGCTGACGCGTGGAGCATGCGTGTGTGAACAAAAGGAAGCAACCGTGAAATAAGAATAAATGTCAAAAGGTTGAGTTAATTTCCTTTATAGTTGACGTTGATTAAAAATTCCGCGGACTGCTGCAACAGGCTAATACTATAATTGTTTGGGAGTGGATGCTGAATGCCATGGTCCTGTCGTACGAGACGGGTATGACACGAATAGAGGTGTTCTTTACATAATTGAAATACCCTGGCGAAAACTTCTCAGTATAAAGCAAATAAAATAACGAACAGACTCATAATCAGCCTCACGACCCTATAGGCTTCATGTTTCCAACCATTAGCTGATGACCCCCCCCCCCCTTTCCACAAAAAAACCCACACACACTGCTTTTACATATTATATGCGGGTGCTCTGGTATGGTTTGCTCCTTCTTTCCTGCCAAACACCTATAGTCCTGCCCGCTCTCCTCCTTCTTTTTTGTTTGTTACTACCACAGAATTCTACACTTAAGTGTAGAATTCTGTGGTTACTACTTACTACTACATGTATCTTGTAATGCCTATAGTCTTCGGCACTTTTATTATGATCCTATAGTGTTGCAAATGTCGCCCTCTTTATAATAATAATATTTAAAAAAAGAAAACAAGAAACAAAGAAAGAAACAAAAACCAACCGCTTTTTCTACGTACTCAGCTTACTCAAAAACAAGTACATTTCATACATTGTATATACTGTATGCACGCGTTGTTGTGAAAGTGTGAAAGTATGCATGTGTATAATGTTTGTGTGTGCAATATGCTTGTCTGCGCGCGATTGTGTTGTGTGTGTGTGTGAGTGTGTCCGTTTGAGCAGGGGTGAGAGAGAAAGCGTCGTACTCGTGTGTGTGTGTGTGTG